TCAGCAATGTGAAACAATGGCCTTAAGATAGGAATGATTGACATTTTCAATTTTTTATATTTCAGTGTTAAGACTATTTGTATGTAGCGTTTCGTGAGGGATATTTTATGTTTGAAGCCACGCGATTCCAGGTCTGAGACTTGGTGTCGCCCCCCCCGCCCCCCGTCCCCCCGGCTCACAAGCTCACTGACGCTTTTGTACTGTTTCCTTCGTGTTTACTGTTTGCAAGGAAATCCTCGTTATTATCACAGAGCTGTTTTGTAAGATATCTATGATGTTAAATGTTTATAAATTAACCGTTTAATATATTAACCTCTTAATTTGCCCCATTTTTATATATTAAATGCTGCCTTTTGAAAGGAATAGGAGACTCACGGTGTCAGAGCCGTCTTTGCCCAGATGTTTACAAGGTTGGCCGCTGCCACAGGGGACAGCAGCCGCACCGCACCTCCCGGTGCCCGCCGTGGGCACTGGGCGGCGAGGGCCACCGTGCCAGGCCCTGGGGACAGTCCCCGCGCTCACAGCCAGCCCCGCCTCCTCCGCCCGCCACCCGCTCGCCACCCACAGCGACTCAGCCACGGCGACTCGGCCAGCCTGTGCCCTGCCGACATGACTGAGTCTGAAGTTACGACCGCGACTCGCCCCTTTCTCCACGCAAGGCATTTATCCTAGACACCCCGTGGTTCCTTCACATGAAAACCGTTGTCAGTCACGTCCGTGTTCCTGTTGGCGCCTCCCGTCCGCCTGACCTTTGAGGGTTCGCTCTAGAGTTTACAGGCGTCTGTGATCAGTAAGCGTTCTCATTGCTCACGAATGTTTCTGTGACGATCCTGTGCTTGGAACATGTGTGAAGACTTACTAGGGAGTGGACACCGTGAGGCAGCGACTCGACATTTGAATGAAGGATCCCCGAGAACGTCCCCCTTCTCCCTTCTGTCCCCGGGGGTGTGAGCACGGGGTAGTGCCTTCACGTGGTTGGGTTTGAAAACCTAAACAGACGCCTCGATTCCAAACGACACTGGAAGCTGCTCCTTCCTCACCACGGTGATGGGTCCCACTCCGGCACAGCGTATCCGTCTGCCTGCTGAGCTGCGACTCGGGCCTGTGTGTGGGCGTTCTCCTTCCTTGCTGGTCGTGCCCGTGCACTTGGTCGCCCCGGGGCCCCGGGCCCTGACACACTGTCACGTCCTCACAGCCAGGGGCGAGCGCACGGACCTGAGACGCCGTGGGGGGCAGCCTGGAAGGATGTGGAACCGGAGACCATGCCCGTGTCGCTGTCCCTGGGGGCACCTGTCTGTCCGTGTGGTTACATGCACCCGTGCGGGAGCTGCGTGGCGGCCTCTCCCCACGGCCCCCCTCGCCCCCACGTGCAGCCGGCCGGGCCTCCCCTTCACGGCGATTCCTGCTGCCTCGTCTTCGAGTCATTCTTCCCGGACCAGGAGTCCCGGCTGAATCTGTGTTTTTACAGTGAAAGCTGCGGAAATGCTTTTTGGTTTCTCTGTAGATACTCACGGCATTTTTCAGATAACACATTTGTACGTCTAACCCTCCTGCACCGATTTGAAATCAGATTTTTTAAAAAAATGCACAGGTTCGCTTGTCACCTGCTACTATTTCTTGAGTTGTTTACATTAAAAAAAAACTCCGAGTCCCGAAACATCAACAAGAAACACACAACAAAACCACCACCAAAAATACCACGTGCTTCCTGCCCTGTCACTCTGGGGAGGTATTGGGGAGCCGTTTCACTGCATCTCCACGAATAAACTTCCGAGGAGGTCGCTGTCGCCTGTGGCCGTCACTCTGTCGGGGCGAGCTGATGACCTTAGGTTCTTTGAGAACGTCTTTGATTATTCGTTAGTTGTCGTTGTTACAAGCGTCTGGGTCCCGTCTCAGCCGTCAGCCGCTCCTGCGCCTTCAGGATCCGCCCCAATGCCTGCCGTTCCCTGCAGATGCTGGTTGGAGGGATTTGCGCCCTGACTCGGCCGCTGGCTTTGACTTAGGCCTGTGGTCGGCAAACTGCGGCTCGGGAGCCACACGCGGCTCTTTGGCCCCTTGAGTGTGGCTCTTCCTAAGCCTTAGGAGTGCCCTAATTAAGTTAATAACAGTGTACCTACCTATATAGTTTAAGTTTAAAAAATTTGGCTCCCAAAAGAAATTTCAATCGTCGTACTGTTGATATTTGGCTCTGCTGACGAATGAGTTTGCCCGCCACGGGCTTAGGCCAATTTGACAGGTGCCCTAACGCTGACCAAAAGGGGGCGCCCTCCCCAGGCTCTGAGCCATCTCCCTCGACACCAGCGGTTCTCAACCTGTGGGTCGCGACCCCTTTGGGGGTCGAACGACGCTTTCACAGGGGTCACCTAAGACCATAGGAAAACACATATATAATTACCTATTGATTTTGTGATTAATCACTATGCTTTAATGATGTTCAATGTGTCACAATGAAAATACATCCTGCGTATCAGATATTCACATGACGATTCATAACAGTAGCAACAAGACAGTTATGAAGTAGCAACGAAAGTAATGTTATGGTTGGGGGTCCCCACAACATGAGGAGCTGTATGAAAGGGTCGCGGCATCAGGAAGGTTGAGAACCATCGCTCTACACTTTCTGAGTCTGTCTTCAGTGGGCTTTCCTCGATCCAGAACCCTAACCACGTTGGAACCGACATTCAAAAGCCAGAATCAGCCGAAACCGGTTTGGCTCAGTGGATAGAGCGTCGGCCTGCGGACTGAAGGGTCCCAGGTTCGATTCCGGTCAGGGGCATGTACCTGGGTTGCGGGCACATCCCCAGTGGGAGATGTGCGGGAGGCAGCTGGTCGATGTTTCTCTCTCATCGATGTTTCTAACTCTATCTCTCTCCCTTCCTCTCTGTAAAAAATCAATAAAATATATTAAAAAAAAAAAAAAGCCAGAATCAGGCCCCGGCCGGGGCGGTGCAGGGGGTTGGGCGTATCCCTGCCCCGATTGGTCGCCGGTTGGTTCCCCGCCAGGGCACAGGCCCGGGTCCCAGGGCTGGATCCCCGTGGGGGGCGTGCAGGAGGCAGCCTCTCCTCTCTCTCTCTCTCTCTCTCTCTCTCTCTCTCTCTCTCTCTCTCGTCCCTTCCTTTTATATAAAGAAAGTCATGGTTTTGATACTCGCTCCCTGCAGCACCTGGGAGCCCCCAGCCTGCGGCCTGCAGAGCACCCGCCGGGCAGCAGAGGGCGCCCCGGCCCAGGCGCCGAGACTGGGCTGCCCCCCCCTTCCCCCCCACCTCCCACCCCCCACCCCTGCCGGGGAACTCAGCTTCTTCGTCTCCTTGGCAACTGTTTTCTTAACCCAGGACGGGTGTCAATCAAATCCCATCTTCTCGGGGACCCCTGCGACCCGGGAAGAGCTGTTTATGTTGCTTCTGAAGGGGGGGCCTCCGGGCCGGCAGCCCGCGGATAACCGGGACCACGGTCGCCGGGAGGCCCGCCCCGCTCGGGGGCGGCAGGAAAGGCCTCGGTGAAACAGACGGACTGTTCAGGCCCCGGGAGGGATGCCCGGCGAGCGGGGGGCCGTCTGGTCCATCCGGTGGGATAGCTCCTGGCTGTGCCTCCGGAGAAGGCGCTCCAGGGAGTTTCCCACAATGCTCAGCGGCTTCCAGGACCCCCCCCCCCCCCGGAAATGAGTGGCCCAGAGGCAGGGACGCCCAGGTGACCAGGGCAGGAACCCGTGGGGTCCTGGTCAGCTGCCCAGAAGCCCTGTGCGAGCCCGAGCCCCTTTGGGATGCCTGAGATTGAAAAAACAACGCCGCCGGGGCAGGTGGGCGCAGTGGTTAGAGCACCGGCCTTTGCACCAAAGGGTTGCGGGTTTGATTCCCAGTCAAGGCCACCTACCTGGGTTGCAGGATCGACCCCCCCCCCCCCCCTTCCTTCCACTCTCTCTAAAAAGCAATGGAAACACCTCCCTCCAGCCTGGCCCCTGTGGCTCAGTGGTTGGACGTCAACCTATGATCCAGGAAGTCACATGCCGGGGCTGCAGGTTGGATCTCCGCCCTGGTCGGGGCGTGTGGCCTGGGCTGCAGGGTGAGCAGCAGGCGCTGCCTTGGCCCTTTGTCCCCCGGGCCCCCCCCCGGCCCTCCCCCAGCCCGGCTGCAGAGGGTCTGGGACTTTGGGGCCTGTCTCGGCGGGCTTGACACTTGTCGTTTCCCCGCGAAGTCCTGGGCGCATCACTTGGCTCAGCCTGATCCTTATTTGGATGGTCCCAGCTGGACGGACAGACAGATCCTTCGGAAGAGCCGCCTGCGAGGCGAGAAGGGCGTGGGAGCCGCCGGTGGTGGTGGTGGTGGCTGTGGTGGGGCCTGCACAGCGCATCCTTTATTCATCGGCGCAAAGGGATCCTCGCTGGAGCTTTAAATATACTTGACGCCAGGGTCGCGTCTTAGATAGGCCTGCAGCGCGTTAATAATTAAACAGAATTGGGAAATGCTTAGTTTGGGGAAGGCGAGTCGGAATCGTCAGCCCAACGCTAGGAACCCTCCCCTCCCCGTGGGAGCTTTGCCTGAACCAGGACTTAGAATCAAGTCCACAGTTTAGCTGAAACTCATCTCCTTGTTGTGTGTGTGTGTGTGTGTGTGTGTCGGGGGGGGGGGGGGGCAGGAACCGTAAGAGAAGGAAAGGGAGGCCCTGCGAGGCTCAGTGGTTCAGCCTCAACCTGTGAACCGGCAGCTCAGGGTTCGATCCCGGGTCAGGGCACAGGCCTGGGTTTCGGGCTCGTTCCCTAGTGGGGGGCGTGCAGGAGGCAGCCGAGCCCTGGTTCTCTCTCATCATGGATGTTCCTCTCTGTCTCTCCCTCTCCCGTCCTCGCTGAAAACAATACAGATGTATTTTTAAAAAGAAAAAAGAAACAGAACGGAAAGCCATCTTGGCGTGTGTCTGTGCGCGCGCGCGCCTGTGTGTGCGCGAGGCGCGCGCGGGGGGCGGGGGATGTGCGCGCGGGCGCGTGTTTCACACTGACGTCGCCTGGGCTCCGGGGCCGCTGCCGGCGGCTGATCCCCTCCCTCCGCCTCCCGCCCGGCTCCCTCCGCCCCCAGCGGGTAACCTGACAGCCGACTGCAGTGCTCGCGGCGCGGCGCTCGGAGCCGGCCTGCTGCTGGGAAGGTAGGCTGCGGTTCGTGTCTCCTGCTCCTGAAACTGCGCCTGGTTCCTGCACCTCCGCGCACCCGGCTGCAGGGCGCGGGTGGCAGGGCGGCGGCGGGGACAAAGTTTATTTCTGGCGGCGGGAGGATGCCCTTCAGCGGGAGGCGGCCGGCCGGCGAGGCTGGCGAGGGCGCAGCGGCCGGCGAGGTGGCGAGGGCGCGCGGACCCGGCGCAGGAGCGGTGGATCCGGGTGTCTGCACAGCGCTCCTCCCGCCGGTTGCATGGGGCTTCGCGGTCCCCAGGGATGGATGGTTCCCTTTCCGAAGGGCAAGGCTGACGGGTCCCCCTGTCTGTGTGGGCTCCCCGCTCCCCTCTGGCCCCCAGCTTTGCAGAAAAGCCCCTCGGGGTGAAGTTTCTCCTCGCGCCCACCCGGCAGCGCTTCCCTGACCCCAGGATGTGATTGTCTGGGGTTCCCAGCCTCTGGGGCTTTGGAGGGGGGTCTCCCTGCGCGTGGGGGGTGGGGCAGAGAAGGGGCTGGGGGCCCCCCAAACCAGAGCGCTGGCTGTCTCATCCCCAGCTCGGCTTGACGGTGGGGTGCGCGCAGTGGGAAGCCGGCACGCGGAGAATTTGTCTATTTGTCTTAGACCCACTGGAATAATGTGTTTGTCAAAACAGATGTTTCCGGCGGAGTGTGCGCGTGTGCGCGTGTGTGCGCGCGTGTACACGCAGCAGCCCGTGTGCGGGCAGCCTCCATCCGCCCCCCAAAAAGCTGTATTTTTCCTGGAAATGCAGTGTTTATGGGACCCCCTGCCGGGGGGAGGCGGGGGGGGGGGGGGCTTGGGTTTGGGGAGCCTGGGGGGTGGGGCTCGGGCGCGGCTGGCTCGCCTGACCTGAGGCCTCTGTGGGGGCGGGTTCCTGTCCCCACCACCGTGTCCTTGTCCGGGGCTGAGGGCTGGGGAGGGGGCCCCCACCTTGTCATTGGGGGGAGGCGTTCCTGCACGGCCTGAGGGGCAGGGGGCCGGACCTCTGGTCTCCATCCCTCAGGCTCTTAGGGTGTCTGTGAGTCGGAGAGCGGGGCTGGGGAGGGGGTGCTGGGCTCCCCTGGCATTTCCCTGCAGCACCTCCTCTCCCCTGGGGGAGCCCCCTCATTGAGGGAAATGGGAGCAGCCAGGAAGGGCTGAGCTGGCTCTGCACAGGGGAGGCCAGAGGAGAGGGGGGTGGCCAGGCCAGCAGCTGCTGTGTGTGTGTGTGTGTGTGTTGGGGGGGATTGAGGGGGGAAGGCGGGAAGCCCCTTTCCTCTGCACCCATTTCTGAACCCCAGTGAACGAGGCAGCCATGGGAGGGCCCCGCTTCAAGCGCACCCCGTATGCAAGGTGGACATCCAGGGGCCTCTGGGAGGTCACCCCACCCCCGCCCCCGCCCCCAGGGCCCAGCTGGAACCTCCCGAATGTGCTGGGTCCTGACCACACCTCGGGCTCGTAGCTCAGGGGATCTGGAGCCTCCAGGGCGATGGGTGTGAGGCAGGCCCTGGGGCCGGGGCGGGAGCAGGTGTGGGCGCTGCGTGGGGTGAGGGCGGTGCCGGCAGGACCACAGCGGAGCTGAGGGGAGTCGGGGATGTGGCTACCCCTCATGTGACAAGCTGGGTCTGGGCAAGGCTGCAGGTCAGTGGTCAGTGTGCGGGCAGGTGTCAGCAATGGGGCTGCCCCCACCCGGCCGCGGGCCTCCTCTCCGGCTCCCCCCAGGGCACCCCGAACCGTGGATGTGGGCGGAGTCCAACCTTCCCAGGTGAGGGTCGTGCAGATGGGCCAGAGCTCTGAGCAGTTAAGGGAAAAGGGCTGCCTGGCCGGCGTGGCTCAGGGGTTGGGGTCCATCTAGGAGCCAGGAGGTCAGGGTTCGATTCCCGGGCGGGGCACATGTGCGGGTTGTGGGCTCGATCCCCAGTGGGGGGCGTGCAGGAGGCAGCCGGTCCGTGATCCTCTCTCCTCATGGATGTTTCTCTCTCTCCCTCTCCCTCTCCCTTCTGCTCTGAAATCAATAAAAAACATATTTTAAAAAAGGCAGCAAGCCCATCCAGTGCGTCCCCCCAGGACGTTCACGCTCTTGTTCGCTCTGTGCGAGGCTGGCGATGGGTGGGGAGCCCTGTGCTTCGTGCCTCCCCAGGTCGCGCCGTGGTGGTTTCGGAGTGAAGGTTGGAGCTCTAAGCAGAGCAGCGGCTCTCAAACGCTAGTGAGCGGCCGAGTCCTGACCCAGCAGGTCCGGGGGCCCGGACTTTGTGCCCCTCAGTTCTCAGGGGTGCCAGTGCTGCCGCTCTGGGGACCCACTTTGAGAACCACTGGGTTAGCTAGCGGTGCTGCCTCTGGGGCGTGGCTTGCTCTCTCCGTGGTCGGTTGAGGGTCAGACGTGACCTGTGACCTTAACAGAGGCCTGGCCTCCCCGGCGGGTCCCTCCCTCGGCGTCTCCCGCGCCCGGGGAAGGTTCTGGGCCCGCGGGGGGCTGGCCTGGCTGCCCGTCTGTTGGGGATGAGCCTGAGCGGCCGACACCAGCTTCTAGCAAAGCCGACTTCCTTCCTCTGCTCCTTTCGCACGAGATCGTGGTGTCTCCGAATCTGTGTCCCCAGCTCGGCCTTTTGCGTCCGCCTGTGGGAGACGCCGTCCAGCCTGGTTAGGGGCCTTAGCCCGGCTCGCGGGGCTGCCTGTGGGGGGGCCGCTGTCCTGGTCCTGGTGCCGCCCCGTGGCTGCTCCTGCTGAGGCGGCGCGCAGCGCACAGGCGCGGGCGCACCCGCAGGCCCGCCCCACCTCCCGCCGGTCCGCCGTCACCCCGCACCAGCAGCCACAGGGCCATAGCAGAGGCCCAGCCAGCCGGCCCGCCAGCCCACATCCAGCCAGCACAGCCACCAGCCACCGCAGCCGCCAGCCACGCAGCCAGCAGCCATCAGCCATCAGCAGCCAGCCATGCATCCATCCATGCCATCCGTCCAGCAGCGAGCCAGGCACAGCCATCCAGCAGCCAGGCCAGCCAGCCTGCCAGCAGCGCGCAAGGCATCAGCCAGGCCAAGCAGCCCGCCAGCCAGCCAGCAGCCAGCGGCCACGCCAGCAGCCTAGCCAAGCAGCCAGCCAGCCAGCATCCAGCCAGCAGCCATCCACCCAGCAGCCAGCAGCATCCAGCCCGCCAGCCCGCCGTCCAGCAGCCAGCCCGTCCAGCCAGCAGTCCAGCACCCAGCCAGCCAGCCAGCCATCACGCCAGCATCCAGCCGTCCAGCAGCAGCAAGCCAGCCCAGTTCCAGCCAGCCAGCCAGCAGCCAGCAGCCAGCCATCCAGCCGGCCAGCAGCCAGCCAGCCAGCAGCCAGCCAGCAGCCTGCCAGCCAGCCGTGCAGCAGCAAGGCAGCCAGCCAAGCCAGCCAGCCAGCCGCCAGCAGCCAGGCAGCCAGCCAGCCCGCAGCCAGCCAGCTGGGCACCAGGCAGCCAGCCAGCCAGCCAGGCCAGCAGCTCAGCCAGCCAGCCAGCAGCCAGCCAGCAGCCAGCCAGCCAGCCAGCAGCCAGCAGCCAGCCAGCCAGGCAGCCAGCCAGCCCAGCCAGCCAGCCGGCCAGCAGCGAGCCAGCCAGCCAGCCAGCCACAGCCAGCCAGCCAGCTCCAGCAGCCAGCCAGCCAGCCAGCAGCCGCCAGCCGCAGCCAGCAGCCAGCCAGCCAGCAGCCACCAGCAGCCAGCAGCCAGCAGCCAGCCAGCCAGCAGCCAGCCACAGCCAGCCAGCCACAGCAGCCAGCCAGCAGCCAGCAGCCAGCCATGCGCAGCCAGCCAGCAGCCAGCGAGCAGCCAGCGCAGCACAGCCAGCCATGCCCATCAAGCAGCCAGCCAGCCAGCAGCCAGCAGCCAGCCTCGCAGCCAGCCAGCCAGCCAGCAGCCAGCCGCCAGCAGCAGCCAGCCAGCCAGCCAGCCATGCCAGCCAGCCAGCAGCCAGCCAGCCAGCAGCCATGCCAGCCAGCCATGCAGCCAGCAGTCCTCAGCAGCCAGCAGCCAGCCAGCAGCCAGCCAGCCAGCCAGCAGCAGCCACAGCCAGCCAGCCAGCCAGCAGCCAGCATCAGCCAGCCAGCCAGCCAGCCAGCCGCCCAGCCAGCCAGCTCCAGCCACGCAGCCAGCCGCCAGCCAGCCAGCCATCCAGCAGCCAGCCAGCCACCATCAGCCATCCCATCCATCCGCATCCATCCCAGCCAGCCAGCCAGCAGCCAGCCATCCAGCAGCCAGCATGCCAGCCAGCCATGCCAGCCATGCAGCAGCCAGCACCCAGCAGCCCGCCAGCAGCCAGCCCCGCAGCCAGCCAGCAGCCAGCCAGCCAGCATCCAGCCAGCCACCCAGCCAGCCAGCCAGCAGCCAGCCAGCCAGCAGCCAGCAGCCAGTCCATCAGCCAGCCAGCCAGCAGCCAGCCATCCAGCCAGCCAGCCAGCCAGCACCATGCCAGCCAGCCAGCACCAGCCAGCCAGCCAGCAGCCAGCCAGCCAGCCAGCCAGCCAGCATCCATCCAGCATCAGCCATGCAGCCAGCCAGCATGCCAGCCAGCCAGCCAGCAGCCACCAGCCACCCAGCCAGCCATCCAGCAGCCATCCAGCCCGCCAGCCAGAGCCAGCCAGCCAGCATCCAGCCAGCCAGCCAGCAGCCATGCCACCCCGAGCCAGCCATCCAGCAGCCAGCCAGCTCAGCCAGCCAGCTCACCAGCCACCAGCCAGCCAGGCCAGCCAGCCAGCAGCCAGCCATCCATCAGCATCCAGCCACAGCCATCCATCCAGCCAGCATGCCATGCCAGCCAGCCCACATCCAGCCAGTCCAGCAGCATGCCGCTCCAGCCAGCCATCCAGCCAGCCCATCAGGCCAGCCAGCCATCAGCCAGCCATCAGCCACAGCAGCCATCAACCATACCACAGCATGCACATCCATCATCCATCCATCCATCAGCCATCCACCCATCCATCATCCCACCCATCATCCATCCTCCATCATCCATCATCCATCATCCATCATCCATCATCC